GCCGGCTGCAGTGAGGACAGCCACGGAGCGCCCGGAAGTGGGGAGTATGTCCACAGGCGTAGGTTTGGGGGGAGGCCTCCCTCCCACGGCCCCCGTATTTCAGAGGGTGGTTGGCTGCTTGCTGGGCGTTGTGTGTCTGTTTTTGTCCGGGTCAGGAGGGGTCACCTGGCATTCTCAAAGTCCCCGAAAGTCGCCCTTGACTCCTTCGCTCACTCCCTATTCCCAAGTCCCCTGGTACCTTGCATGGCCATGTGCACCTTGCTTTCATTTCTCTGGACGTGGGTGCTGACCTGGGGGGCAGCTGTCGCTGGTCCCCACTAAAATGAAGCAAAATAATGATGGGAGGTTTTTTTTATCAAGTTTCACTTATTCCTGGGAAAGATCGCTCGCCCTGAAGTCGGGTCCCTCCTAGCTTTGATCTGTGTGCCCGGCCTTTCTTTAGGAAACCCTGGAGGAAACTGGTGATTGTTTGTCATTTAAAACCCCATGTCGGTCGCTGACTTTCTTTCTTGGAGAGGAAAATCGTCAGGTCTGAGAGGCACGCTCCGCCTGACCCGGCCCCTCGCCCCGGCTCTGTGCGTGCTGCCATCATCAGCTCCTCACGTCCCCGCTTCCTCCTTTACTACACTCCTCAGCTCCCACGGTCCCCTCTCCTCCCACCCCCTGGTGAAACCCGCCGGGGCCTCCCTCTACTGCAGAATGGACCCTAAGAGGACCCACGTCAGCCGGGCTGTCCACTCCTGACCTCGCTGCCCTTCCATGCTCCTCCACCCCTCACCTGCTGTGGCCGTGGCCGTGGCCGTGGCCGTGGCTGTGGCCATGGCCGGAATGCCATCCTGCCTTTTCTGCCTAAATCCCGCGTCTCGGTCCAGGCTGGGCGAGGTCCCAGCTGAGGTAGGCCTCCCTCGCTGCTCGGCATGGTGGCATCTCTCCGTGCGCCCCGAGCCCACGTGGCCCTCGTTTTCAGTAGCTCAGTTTTCCTGCGTGACTCCCCTCCAATCCGACTCCGCGTGTGCGTTGTGGCCGCAGTACCTCGCCCGCCCTGTGTGCTCAGTGAGAAGCTGGGAGGGCCGGGCAGGCAGGTGCTGGGGCCTCGCACCTGGCCGCCCGCCTGGCCCGCCTGTGTGTGCACTTGAGCCCCATGGGTGCCTTCACGGACACTCGGCCGCTCCTCCAGGGCCAACTCAGAACCGCCTGGCCAGACCGACCAGGCCACGAAGACCCTGGCTCGGCCGGGTCACTCACTGCACCGCCCGCAGCGGGACTTGTTTTTCCCTCCCAGAGAGCCAGGGCTGGTAGGTTAGGGTCTGTGTGCCAGCACCCTCTCCCATGCATGTGCCCGGCTTCCCTGCCACGGGACACGGCGCAGGGGTGAGCCGTGAAGAGCCGAGGAGGCGGCTGGGAGATGCTCTCTGCGGGAGACGGGATGTTCCCGAGTTAGAGTGAATGGAACCAGAAAACGTACGCCAGCCCAGGAGTTAAAGGGGGCAGGTGAGTGGGCAGAGCGCTGGCACGTGGCATCGCCTGCGGAAAGCTGGGCTCCCTGGGAACCAAGCCTGTGGTTGGCACGAGGATAATGGGCCCAGGCGTGCAGGTTGCAGGGATGGCCCGGCGTGAGAGGCAGCCAGAGGCTGACCAACTCGCCTGACCACAGCCCGTGCCCACTTGCCGTCTGGAGAAGGCGGGGAGGGAGAATGCAGTGTGAATACATGCTCCATAGGAGATTCAAAAGGGTGATCCTTTCTTCAGAACACGGCGTTTCCACGCTATGCTGTGAGAACGTCACGTCAGAACCGCCCGGCCAGACCGACCAGGCCACGCAGACCCCAGCTCGGCTGGGTCACTCACTGCACCGCCCGCAGCGGGACTTGTTTTTCCCTCCCAGAGAGCCAGGGCTGGTAGGTCAGGGTCTGCGCACCAGCACCCTCTCACGGCCACGGCCACAGCAGGTGAGGGGTGGAGGAGCATGGAAGGACAGCGAGGTAAGCGTGTGCCCGGCTTCCCTGCCACGGGACACGGCGCAGGGGTGAGCCGTGAAGAGCCGAGGCGGCGGCTGGGAGATGCTCTCTGCGGGAGACGGGATGTTCCCGAGTTAGTTGGAATGGAACCGGAAAACGTACGCCAGCCCGGGGGTTAAAGGGGGCAGGTGAGCTGGCAGGTGGCATCGCCTGCGGAAAGCTGGGCTCCCTGGGAACCAAGCCCGTGGTTGGCATGAGGATAATGGGCCCGGGCCCAGGCGTGCAGGTTGCAGGGATGGCCCGGCGTGAGAGGCAGCCAGAGGCTGACCAACTCGCCTGACCACAGCCCGTGCCCACTTGCCGTCTGGAGAAGGCGGGGAGGGAGAATGCAGTGTGAATACATGCTCCATAGGAGCATTCAGAGGATGCTCGTTTCTTCAAGACACGGTGTTGCCACACTATGCTGTGAGAACGTCACATGGTGTAAGAATACGTCTGGGGTGAGATCTCCCCGCAGGCTGGTGTTACCAGTGATTCTGTGTAAATAGGCCTGCGTGTATTTGTGTCTTCGAGAGCAGTCATTTCTCCAAGCAAGGACAGCGGTACACCGGGCTGGGCTCCTGCGTGCGGGCTGGGGGGGCGGGGCGGTCTCCCTTCCTATCTCAGCTCTGTCTTTTATGGGTCCAAACAGTGGTTGCACTTAACGGCGCATTTTCTTTCTCTTCGCTTCTCCCTCGCGCTGCTCTCTTCGCAGGCCCCGGCCCTGCCGCTGGCTGAGCAGCGTGGCCGAGTGTCAGAACATGTCAGTCCAGCCGTGATCTGACTGATACCACCCGCTGGGGCACTGGGATCAGCGATCGGGGGGCTGAGCAGACCCCGTGCTCTCCCTCCATCTCCTCACCCAGCCCCACTGTGACCCTGTCCTCTCTACTCTCATGACCTAGAACCTTCGCCTAGTTATTAACCAAGCTCTCAAAGCTAGTTTTTTACACTTTAAAAGCCCTCTGTCCTGTCAGAACAGAATATCATGTAGGTACTTCTGTTCCCCTTGCCCCTTGTTGCCCATACTCACACCTATGATTAAGATGCCCTCCATGCTCTCTCCCCTGCCTGTCACTATTAAGGTGCTCTCTCTACGTGGCCCACATCTGGGCTGACCCTAGGTAGGGCTTGGTTAGAGTCTCCAGTTCACTTAGACCCGTGGTCAGCAAACTGAGGCTCGCGAGCCACATGCGGCTCTTTGGCTCCTTGAGTGTGGCTCTTCCACAAAATACCACGTGCGGGCATGCACGTACAGTGCGATTGAAACTTCATGGCCCATGTGCAGAAGTTGGTTTTCGGCCTGGGCAAGTCTATTTTGAAGAAGTACTGTTGATATTTGGATCTGTTGACTAATGAGTTTGCCGACAACTGGTTAGACCTTTGATTAGTGAAGCAGCCTTAGTACCCAGCTGAAACTCAATCTTAAGTATATGGTTGTCCCAAGGAAATCCCTACTTTTTCAGCCATAATTTGCCTTTTTTTTCTTCAAACCACATTGTCATTTTTGAAATGTTCTCTGATGCTACCACAAATGGAAAAGTCACCAAAAAAATCATTTCTTTAGTGAAGTGCTGCATCTGTAATGCATATTTATGATTATGGGACAGCTATTTAAACTGTATCTTAAGGCCCGGCCGGTGTGGTGCAGTGGTTGAGCATCGACCTATGTACAAGGAGTTCACAGTTCGATTCCTGGCCAGGGCACATGCCTGGATTGCAGGCTCCATCCCCAGTGGGGGGTGGGCAGGAGGCAGCCAATCAGTGATTCTCTCCCTCTCCCTTCCTCTCTGAAATCATCAAAGGTATATTTTTTAAAAATAAATAAAATGTATCTTAACATTTAAAAGTGCCTCCTATAGTATATACTTAAAAAGTAATAAAAGTATAAAAAGTAAAATAAATATAATAAAAACACATGTAATCATTAAGTGTCAGTAAACACTATACCTCATTTCAGTAAATATAATAAACTAGAGGCCCGGTGCATGAAATTTGTGCACTGGGGGCGGGGGACCCTCAGCCTGGCCTATGCCCTTTCGCAGTCCGGAACCCCTCGGGGGATGTCTGACTGCCAGCTTAGGCCCGCTCCCTGAGGGAGCCCCCAAGGGGTCCGTAGCACTGCCTCAGAGGCGAGAGAGGCTCCCGCCACCGCCGCTGCACTTGCCAGCCATGAGCCCGGCTTCTGGCTGAGTGGCACTCCCCCTGTGGAAGTGCACTGACCACCAGGGGGTAGCTCGTGCATTGAGCATCTGCCCCCTGGTGGTCAGTGCCTGTCGTAGTGGCCGGTCGTTCTGCCGTTCAGTTGCTTTGCATATTAGGGTTTTTATTATATAGGATGATTGTTCAAAATGCCTATGAACAATTCCTACCATGTCAGTGTGGACAAGATAGAGTCTCACTATCCCACCCAACACTTACTCCCCAGTTTACCATGATAAAACATGTCAATCCCTGAGAAATAAGGAAATCTTTAATAGACTTTTATCTTATTAGTTTGTTAAAGATGTCTCAGGACACTCAAGGAGCATGTTTAAATACACAAATACATACCTGTATGTATACACACTATTTCACAAAGTTGTATATGTATTCGGGTTGCACTGCCATATAGAGCAGACGTTAATAAATCTTTCAAAACTGATAGGACTGTGCATTAAGTCTACTTTGTGGGAAATGGGGAGGAATACTTGGGAATTTAACATCAGCAAACATGTTCCCTTTGAAACAGCAAATTGGATGTGCAGGCAGGCCTTGGTCACACTTCAAAGACGGATGCGCTGGGAGGGAGAGCTGTGCTGTTGACTCGCGCTCACCGGGGAGGGTTTCCGTGTCAAACAGGCTTTGGTGACTTCAAAGCATGTTTGAAGTCCTCTGTCTGCACCGCTCTTTGCACGAAGACAAATATTCTTCCCAATTTGTGCAGCTGACGGAGCCGCACGTTACACTTATAGGAGAACCCCCGTTGCCCATTTAACACCGAGCCCCTGCCTTTGTATTCAGCTACGACAGCGAAGGTCGCCTGACAAACGTCACCTTCCCGACGGGAGTGGTCACCAACCTCCATGGCGACATGGACAGGGCCATCACCGTGGACCTGGAGTCGTCCAGCCGAGACGAGGATGTCAGCATCACTTCCAACCTGTCCTCCATCGACTCTTTCTACACCATGGTTCAAGGTAAACACGAAAGCACCATTTAAACATAGGCCCGGCCCCCAGAGAGAACGTGGCCACCTCGTTGTCTCAGGTGAACCGGAACAGGGGAGGGGAACATGGAAACCTCCAGAGATAGTGAGGAAACAGCCTCATGTCTACACGTAATGGTTGTTGAGTTATATGTACATACAGGGTGTCCCAAAAAAACATATACATTGGTTATAAAGTCACTGTTTATTAACATACAGTTCATTTTCAAAATGTACAGGAATCTACAGAAAGGAACAATTATTTTTTATCAATGCCTGTTTTCAAACTGATGCCCGTTCGGGTCCAGACACTGCTGATAACGCAAAGCGATGGAATCACAAACGTCAAGAATCATTTTGTGTGTTGCTTGTTGCCTGTTTTGTACCATAAACTTTATCTTTCATGTATCCCCGTTAAAAAAAAGAGTCTAGTGGCCCTTTAGGGTACATTTTCTTTGTTCGAAGCTTAGTCTGGCTTCACCCGTTATTTCAGATCAGTTAAACCTGAAAAGGAGTGAAACTGAAGCGAGTTATCAGCTGTTAAAGTGTGTATTCACTTTTGGGGACACGCTATATTATAAAGTTACGTCATATAGAAAACACTTTGTTAACCTGGAAACCGTCCATTCCCGTTTAATAAAACAGTGTATTCCCACGCCTCACGTGCACCATCAGACCCTCCCTGGGTCACCGTCCTGGTGTCCTGAGCCCGTCACCCTCACCACCGGGCGTCCCGTGTTGTGGGCACGGCCCTTCCTGAATCCGGGACATGGTGTCTGAATGCCCCTGTGGTGTGGTCACTGGAGATTCTATCCCAGTTCCAAACACGTACGTATGTAATGTCTGCACTTGGACCTCTTCGCTCTGTAGGCATCTGTGTCCAACGTCTCCATGACGGGACCTCCCGCCAGAGTCCTTTACGATGCAACGTTGTGAGGGCGTAGCCCTTAGGAATTGCTAGCTCTGAGCTAAACTTCTTCAACTCATTTTGTTGTTGTTGTTTGTTACTGATTCTGTCAGGTATTCTGCACAGTCACCTGAAGTTAGTATTGCTCGAGTTCATTTATTCTCCAAATCATCTGAGTTATGCGAGCATCTTAAGCTGAAGCAGTAGCTTACAATACGAAATGTCTTTGGTACCGAATGTAAGATGAGTCTCTTCTTTCAATGTCCATTTCAGGCGAACAGTTGCCTTATATAGGGTGTCCCAAAATTCATGCGAGATTTGTAATCGAATTGAGTTGCAAATCTTGCATGAATTTTGGGACATTGTATATTTGGGGTAGAGAAGGTATAGCTATTAAATCCTTTCAGCGTCCTTTGGTAAAAGATACAGGGACGGGGAAGGAGGGTCCCCTAGACACTGGAGGTGACACCAGCCTCCGGAGGAGCTCATACTTGGCTCTTTGCAGAACGCTCACTGCACGACCCTCATTTAGTTCGTCAGGCTGATGAGGAAAAGGAGCCCGTCGATAGCGGAGAAGGCCTGTAACCCCCCACGTTCTCCTCTCACGGTCAGCCACCCCCGATGCAGCGTGAAATGCCAGAAATCAGAGTTGTCTTACTGTTTTCTAAGCGGACGTCCTTAAGCGTTTTTATTTCCTTACAAATGCAGTTCGGTCAACAGTTTAGAAATTGGTGTCACTTCTCGCGGCGTCTCCAGCCGAGTGTCTAGTCCACGCCTGTGGCTGACTCTCTGCTGCTTGTCCTGCAGACCAGCTGAGAAACAGCTACCAGATCGGCTACGACGGCTCCCTGAGGATCATCTACGCCAGCGGGCTCGACTCCCACTACCAGACGGAGCCGCACGTGCTGGCCGGCACGGCCAACCCAACCATGGCCAAGAGGAACATGACCCTCCCCGGGGAGAACGGCCAGAACCTGGTGGAGTGGAGGTTCCGGAAGGAGCAAGCCCAAGGAAAAGTCAACGTCTTTGGCCGGAAGCTCAGGGTGAGTGTCGGAGAGCAGAATCTATGACCATAAATGGTTCTTCCCGGGAAATCAGGAAAGTGAATGTAGCACGGCCTCCAGCAGCCCGGGTGTCAACGGGTTCTTACTTTACTAACGTCATCTTTAAATCTTAGCTTGTCCTTCACCCACTCGGGATGGTGGCTTCCTGATGCGGGGATGGGGCTCACTAAGAAAGGGCTTCACTATTGAAAGTTTTCCAGATCATAAAGACAGGCACTGAAAGGTGGGCTGGCAGGTGGAAGGTGGGCTGGTTCTTTATATTCTCAATTTTTTAAAGTACAGTTTGGGCACATGGAGAAGTATCGGCGTCAGACCTAGCGCCTGCCTCCTCGCCATGGATTTGTGGAATGAGTGAAAGGAATGTAATGACATTTCTGACTGTGCTGCTGACCTTGATCTTTGCAGTGTTCTCTGCGTGACCATTTCACACCGAGCCGTGTATATCTCGGAAGCACGCGGTGACGTAGGACACCTATTTAGTGCTTAATCTAAGACAACATAGACTCGGTACTAAAACACAGGTGACAAGAAAACCACCGTCAGACCCCTGCAAACTGAGCCTGACCCATTCTTTCTATTAGTAAACAGGTTTTAGTTTATCAGATAACTAGGTAACTATTCCTAAAATCACTTGCCGTGCCATTAAGCAGAAGAACTTAAAATCAAAGAGAGAGAACAGAACACAGAGCATACCATTAAAATGTCCATGTTTTCTGCACCAAAAATGGTTAAATTATTATCACAATCCAACATGATTTACCTTGACAAACCTTTTAAGTGGTGGTGGGCGGGGGGAAGGGGGGGTAAACAGCTACTGACTACAACCCTGTCTCTGTTTCCAAGAAATAAAAATGAAGTGAAAAGGGACCGATGGGTCAAATACAGTCTGCATGCCACTGACGGGTCATATTCTGATGCCGCTTCAGTAGCAAGGCCGGTGTTTGGGACTGAATCCAGGTCTTCGGGCACCAGTGCCATGTGCTCCCACCCCACCCGCACCCAGGCTGTGCAAGCCCGGATGCCCGCGCTCCGTCCCCGATCAGGAGGCAGGCAGGGGCTGGGGAGGCGGAGGGAGAGGAGTGAGAAGGGAGAGCAGTGGACGCCAGGAGGAGGTGACGTGATGGATGGGCGAGAAAGCAGGCTCGGACTTGCCCCAGGTCACTTGGCGAGGGTCTTGGGCTGTTGCCACAGTCGACTCCAGCCGCCGCCTTTCCTTCCGCAGAGCCTGGCCTCAGTGGCTGCCTGCACCCCCTCTGCCTGCACCCCTCTGCCTGCACCCCTCTGCCTGCACCCCTCTCTGCCTGTACCCCCTCTGCCTGCACCTCTCTGCCTGCACCCCCTCTGCCTGCACCCCTCTGTCTGCACCCCTCTCTGCCTGCACCCCTCTCTGCCTGCACTACCTCTGCACCCCTCTCTGCCTGCACCCCTCTGCCTGCACCCCTCTCTGCTTCTCCCCAGGACCTGCTTCCTGGGCCCATTACAAACCAGAAGGCAGCTCCAGGCTGTCTCCTACTCACTGTCCCTAAAGCAGGCAGGTTACACACACACAGTCTCAAGCACAGGACTGCCTTCATCAGACACGCAAGGACACTGCTCCCACGCGTGCTCCCCGGTCTGCACCCCAAAGACACAGCCCCACCTGGAATTCAGAACCCGCGGTTCTAGACCGGGCTCCACTTTTTACTAATCACTAGCCTTCTGGGGAAATCATAACATCCGTCAGCCTCATGGCCTTATCTGTGGCATGGCTGTCTATAGCAGTGATGGCGAACCTATGACATGCGTGTCAGAGGTGACATGCAAACTCATTTTTTTGGTTGATTTTTCTTTGTTAAATGGCATTTAAATATATAAAATAAATATCAAAAATATAAGTCTTTGTTTTACTATGGTTGCAAATATCAAAAAATCTCTATATGTGACACGGCACCAGAGTTAAGTTAGGGTTTTTCAAATTTCTGACACGCCGAGCTCAAAAGGTTCGCCATCACTGGTCTATAGCATGATCCGAGTAACATATTACCCAGATGCTCCCTCACGAAGCAGACATGACAGAGCTGTATTGTGGATGAATGAAATGTTCCCTCCCTGCCTCTGTCCCCACCGTTGTTACGTGAGAGAATCATGTGAGGCTCTCGGCAAGTACGCTGTCAACAGAGGCCTGGTCGTGTGTTCCTAACCCCACCCCGGAGAAGCCACCCCGTCCGAGGACACTGGCTTTCAGACCAGGCAGCACAGGGGCGGGAAGGGGCTGTTTCGGTCACAGGTTAGGAAGGTGCCAGGAGCGGGAAGAGCAGGCCAATCCCTGAGCATATGTTGCGGCTGTTCTTTGTGACGAGCTGTGTATAAGTGTATCCTTTTTTTTGCTTTATTAACACTGCTTTTTCAGACATAAAAGGAAATTAGGAAGAGCAGAGGGAAGGAGGGGCAATCCGATCTTATGTCGCTGGTTCTCTGGTTCTAAACGGGGACCCTCCTCACTCTGGGGAGGAAGGGACTGTGCGCTCCATTTTGAAGGTCCGAGCTGGGACATGGTCATGGGAAATGAAGATCTCCCCATTTAATTTGTAACACTCCCTGCCTCTGTCCCCACCGTTGTTACGTGAGAGAATCATGTGAGGCTCTGAGCAAGTACGCTGTCAACAGAGGCCTGGTCGTGTGTTCCTAACCCCACCCCGGAGAAGCCACCCCATCCGCGGACGCCAGGTTTCAGACCAGGCAGCACAGGGACGGGAAGGGGCTGTTTCGGTCACAGGTTAGGAAGGTACCAGGAGCGGGAAGAGCAGGCCAATCCCTGAGCATATGTTGCGGCTGTTCTTTGTGACGAGCTGTGTATAAGTGTATCCTTTTTTTTTTGCTTTATTAACACTGCTTTTTCAGACATAAAAGGAAATTAGGAAGAGCAGAGGGAAGGAGGGGCAATCCGATCTTATGTCGCTGGTTCTCTGGTTCTACACGGAGACCCTCCTCACTCGGGAGGAAGGGACTGTGCGCTCCATTTTGAAGGTCCGAGCTGGGACATGGTCATGGGAAATGAAGATCTCCCCATTTAATTTGTAACAATCCAAACAGTCAACAAGACTTCGTTATGTACCAGCCGCCAGGCCACATCGCAGACCTAAGAGCAGAGGTCCCGGCCTCACCCTGCAGGTCCCCAGGCTGCGAACACTGCGGGCCGCTGTGAGGTAGAACTTACCGAGGCCACGTAACCGAGGCCACATCCCCGCAGCTGTGACGCTCGCTGGTTTGGGTGCGCCGTGGTTCACGGACGGTAACAACCGCACGTGGTCGACGATTCTGGCCGTGGCGTGGGCCACAGAGACCCTCTCCCAGCAACGTGGTGCGAGACTCGTAAACGAATCACAAACGTCGGACCAGGCGGGCGGGGGAGCAGAGGATCTGAAGTCCCTGCCAGTCAACCAGATGGCATCCAAGGAAAAGGCATTCGGGAAAGTGGTGACATTTCAGCATTTGGCCAAAAGCAATGCTCGTGTTTGTAGCCTCCTGCTCTCTCCGCTCGTTAATAATTTATGGTAATGTGGGTTCCAGCTTCCACGCAACTGCTCTGCAGAGGGCGACAGCCCCGCTTACCCTGTTGTATTCCATGCGGCCACGGTTAACCCCTGAGCAGTTCCCTCCCGGTGCCCGTGGGAGGGGCCGGGCGCCATCTGCAGCGACGTATTTCCCGCCTCCGTATGGTCTGAACCAACTCTAAAGCAGACGCGTTCTGGTGCTGTTCTTATCGGTTGCTCGAGTTTACAAAGTTTCATTGAAAGGGTTTTGAACAAACGCCAGGCTGTCTTTCTGCTTACTGAAACCTTTTAGAGGAGCAGTTAATCTGCCGCCTTGCACTCGTACCCGAGAAGTTGCGAAATTAATTTACTGACAAAGAGAATCAATCACGTAAATGGTGTTTAAGCCGCGGTGGGGACACGGAAGGGTAACCCGGGGCGGGAACTGGGTCCGCGTGATTTATCGTGTCGCCCGGTTGGTGTGCTCACAGGTCAACGGCAGGAACCTCCTTTCCGTCGACTTCGATCGGACCACAAAGACGGAAAAGATCTACGACGACCACCGCAAGTTCCTACTGAGGATCGCCTACGACACGTCGGGGCACCCGACGCTCTGGCTGCCCAGCAGCAAGCTGATGGCCGTCAACGTCACCTACTCGTCCACGGGGCAGATCGCCAGCATCCAGCGGGGCACCACCAGCGAGAAGGTGGACTACGACGGGCAGGGGCGCATCGTGTCGCGGGTCTTCGCGGATGGCAAAACGTGGAGTTACACGTACTTGGAAAAGGTAGGTGTGCACCCTCCCAGTCCAAACCCCCTGCGGCCCAGGGGTTGCGCGTCAGCCCATGAGCCGGGGGGTCACGGTTCGAGTCCCGGTCAGGGCACGTGCCTGGGTTGTGTGGTGGGTCCCCGGTGTGGGGCGTGCAGGAGGCAGCCGATCCATGATTCTCGCTCATCGTTGATGTTTCTGTCTCTCTCTCCCTCTCCCTTGCTCTCTGAAATCAGTAAAAGCATTTTTCTAAAGACAACTGGGGAGGCAGTGATAGTACTTTTCAGCCACCTCCCAGAGCACGAGGACAAGGGGACAGGGACGGTGCCTGAGCCCCGTGTACCACCCTCGGCATCACTGTGTGCGTCTCAGCCGCACAGAGCGATGCATCCGCATGAGCCGAGCTCTTCCTCCTGAGCTGGGTCCCCCTCGCTGAGGCCCTTTTAAGTGATTTGGGCTGTAAACGGACACGCAGGAACACTGTCCCCCCGCCAGGCGTGTACATGGACCACTCCACGGATGAGACGCTGGGCGTGGAAGTCGTCGGTGAATAACCTCCCAGCTGGGTCTGTGGTTTGAGAGCCCGCCGTCTCACGGTGAAAGCTGCCGCTGCCGGGCCTGCACTGCCGCCGGCGGGCATCGACCTGGCCATAGAGAGCGCAGAGGCCCTGTGTGCGCACTGTTCACGCATCGGTCACCCACGGCTGCTCTTCAGGAAGCCGCCTTTCAGCCACCCCATCCCCACCCCTCTGCCTCGCTCCTTCCCTCCCCATGTAGAAGGCAAGCGCCGAGCTTGGGCTGGTCCCCTCCCTAAGCACTAGGAGCAAGGGGACGGTCCCACAACAGAGTCCAAGCTCCACATTGCAGAGCCAGGCGGCATGTGGTTGGGACAGTGATGGGGGCGAGGGGTGGGGGCAGAAGAGGAAGGAGAAGGAGAGGACTGTCTCCTGGAATTCCTTTCTCAAGAAACACGCCCCCCAAAGAGCATGTCCTTGGGGTGCCTCCTTCCTGGGCAGTGAGCGCCAGCCCGGGAAACAACTGGGTGTGAGTCCTGAGGCCTCTCCACCACACGGCGCCCACCACACGGAGGCCTGAGCTGCAGACTCAGCGACCAGCAGCTCCGGCCTCCACGCTGGCTCCTTCTCACGGAGTAACGCTGGCTGCCAGCTCATGTCCGCATCACTGTTGTGCGCCTCACACTCTTGTTTGTCACCAGGGGTGCTCTGCATGGCCCCTCAGTCTCAACCCCACCCCTGCCCTACAGCCACCCCATCCCCACCC